CCTAACAAGAAACAAACAACTGGATTCATTAAATCACAGCCAATACCGATGTAAATGAAAGGCGTAAATATTTTTTTAAGCCACTTAAAGAAATTTACTGCTCTTTCTTTGTCATCACTAATAAATGATCGCAAACCATTCCAGCTCATGCCTTCATCCTCGTCACAATCGTCCTCTTCATCTGAAAGACTTGTATGTTCCAAGGTTTTTTTTCTCAGCTCAGGGTGAAAATGAAACAATGGAACAATATCTTTAGCAGTGGGAAGGGTATCTTTGCTCCAAGGAAACAAACAGACTTCTACCACTCCACTACCTTCATTTCCAAACATTTCTAGAAGAAAAACAGTGAAGGTACTTACTAACAGTCAGGTACAACTCTATTAAATGACTGAGGTGTACTGTACACCTGGTCCCAGTTGCTCAAAACCTGGATAGTGCTATCCACCGTATATTTCACTATCCAGTGAGTGGATAGGTATGAGCCAGGAAACCAATTGCGCTATGCGCTGGATAGAGATTTATCCAGCATTATGCATCCTCTGAACAACTGGGCCCTGACATTACTTCAGAAAAATGTTTTTTATTACACTGTCATATGAAGTAAATATGGTGCACTGACAGTCTGTAGTCTATAAGGAGGCTTAGAACAGTGTAATCCTGCGGTGAATTTCACAGACAAGATTCAGGCGGCTTGTGGAGCAAAAAGGACCAACAAACCATGTGCAGTCTGAGAATGGACTGTCCAGCTGTACTCTAGATGACATGCAGGTTTATCTGGGTTAATAAATTAATAACTAGTACCTATTGCTAACTCCACCACTCTTGTTTAGAGAGAGCAGAGAAAGCAAAGTTCCCTACCTACTGTAATTTATATGTACCCACCCACCCACGCACCCGCATCACATTCTGTTCAATAATTTTACAGTAATTCTACAGTTCAGCCAGAGGTCATGTGACACCCCAAGATTCCATTAATGAATTTGTTACTCAAGAGTTGAATTTGTTAGTAGTCGTAGATTTCAGATTGAACTCACTGCATTCCAGTGTGCGTATTATGAACTCAGTGAATTCTCCCTAAAGGTTTAGTTATGAAATATTTTCTACCTGCTCAGTTTTCTTCATTTTGATGTACATGTCTTCAATAACCCGGTCAATCTTCTTTGAATTAAGGTTATGATAATCATAAAAAATTCACTGCTTGTTATGCATGGATCAGAGGAATGCATATTTTTCATAAAATTACAATTATTAATAATAAATGGCAATTAAATATTTATTTTATCATTATAAACAGTATTAACTTATCATAGTATTCACTTCACTGTATCATTTGATAGTTACACTCAGTCTGATAACTGAGTAATTTATCCCATTTCATATTCATAAAATTTCAGAACCACAGAGTTCAAAGGAGAGGACTTACCACAGTCTAGATCTAGCTGTTCAGCTGCTTTCTGAATCCTCATTAATATGGCTACAGCTCGGAAGAAATCTTTATATTTCAGATCCTTATCTGACTCAAGTTTGTACTTTGCTAAATGAACTATACCACATTTCCAGCGCTCTGGCGGGTCAGAAAACACATATGCATCTGCAGTCTTATCATCAGCATAACTATCGTCCCAGTAACAGAACCATTCCTCAGGAT